CGTTCAACTTATGCATAAGCATCTGTCTTATACATACTTAATTTGTACTTACATGCGTGCTACATTTCTGTCCCTAGCAAAATGTCAAATGAAAATACCAAGAAATCCAGAGCTAAACAATACTTGTCTGACAGCATGTGACATAGTTATCTTAGATATGATTAAGCAGATTTAGATCTACTTGGTGCCTGGATCAGCAAATGATTGGTCTGATTCGAATTAGACAAAGCAAAGAAAGACGGGGTTATGAATGCAATACTCTTTGTTTATAGTCTGTAAGTCATCAGGAATCATTTGATTGCAATGGGGTAAAATTGTTATATTTTCTGAGATATTTCCTATGTGATAGAATTGATATATGGAGGAATATTTATTAGAGAAAAATGATGCAGTTACACAAACCTCACACTGCAAATTGAAATGCTAAAGTTGAGCAATAGTTTTACTTTTATGATTTTCTGAATACTTTCCTAGGTTTAAAAAGTTTAAGCTTAGATAAAATCATTTTAATTAAAATATTATTTTAGTTATATTAGCAACATTGTAATAATCATATGGCAGGTTTTGAAAAAGGATGTCTTAGATGCTTATTCAATAAAAATAATTTTGCCAGTATATATACATGACTAAATACTAGGATTTTTTTTCCTCATTCCTTTCCTAGCACAGGATTCATCCTTTTGTTTGTGCTTTCAAATTTGCTCTGGAGAGTGTCCCTAATCTTCCATATTTGAGGGGTGTATATTTGAGAGGTGTTTGAAGAAGAGTCAATCAACAGATATTTTCAAATGATAATGTAAGGTGTGAGCTGTTTTCCCCCAATTATATCATAATAAGTATGCCACAGCTTAAAACTACATTATTTGGTCATTGCTGCAGAGGATTCATGACAGTACAAAGGCAGAAAATTTCCAGCCTCCAAATTCTCATATCTAGATGTGTTCTGTGTTGAGACTTACGGTTTTCTGAGCCCAGCTGCAAGGACCATGGCACTATGATGATTAAAGCGCTTTATAATAGCTGCGTTGCTACTTTCCTTTATTGATTTTGTAGAGTTGGATGTGGATGGTGCCAAGGACACACCGTAACCCTGCCACGATGAAATAAGCAAACCCCAAAAGACATGTTGATTCATGATGGATGAAACAAATTAAAATATGGGCTGTACCCAAGTATACTTGGCAGTTTTCATAGGAATTCATTTTTTCTGCCTTCGAACAAAAATCAAGTTGAAACAATTTAAGTCTAACAATGTGAGCAGCACTATGTAAAAGGATGATTATGAAAACAAATCCACCTTTTCTATTTATTTGCAATTAAGCCGTTTTCTTAAGTGATATGTTATTATTATTATTCAAAATTGCTCAGTGGGAAATGTTTTTCTGAAGCTATCAAACTACTTTTAAACTAGCAAGATTAATTTAGATTTTGCAATAAAGTTAATGAGAAATGGGAAGATCAGTTCTTATAAAAATGAAATTTAAACCAATTTTGGTTTCACTTACAACTATGTATAACATTTTCTTTAGATCAGCAGTATGTTATAAATTTACCTAATCAGGGCCTTCTAACAACCAGTATCTTTTAAAGATCCATGCCTGAATAAGATGATGCACATTCAGATCAAAATCTAGCATATGTTGGAAAAGCCCAGAGAATTTCACTGCAAATTCTCCAATAAGCAACTGAGGCAATATCACCATCGAATGTAAATATAATTTGCATTTATTTTTGAGGATCCAAATAGATAAGGAAGGCTATCATTATGAAAGAAGAAGAAGGAGAAGCACCCAGCCGCCATCCCTGCCTGGCACCGGGCAGAGCATGAAGAGCTTCACCTGGGGCGCCCAGTGCAGGCCCTCCTGCCCAGCGGCAGAGCTCTCACCAAGGCAGCAAGCACCTCCCCGCTGGACCCTCCGCTCATCCCGCCAGGGCCGCGCCAGAGCCGTGCGGGCTGGGCAGAGCCGGGAAAGCAAGCCACGGGTGCGCGCCCGCCTGCCAAGCAAAAGAGCCGGGTCGACCTGAGCTTGGCTTCCTTCCCAAGTCCCTCCAGCGCGAACCCGAAGGGGCCACTGAGAGAGGCCGCCCGAGGCAGTGATAGCGCCCACCCATCCATGGACAGGGATGCAAGGCGACGGCCTGCACCGTGTCCTCCTCCGAGCTGAGCCCTGCCGAGTCAGCGCCTCTGCTGATGCCCGTTCCGTTGCAGCGTTTGGAGCTGCCGGCGCATTTGGAGATGCACGGGGACAGGCTGGGTAAGGGGTTGAAAGGACGGGTGGCTCGGGCTCTCTCTGACGGCCAGGGAACCAGCGCTGCCATCACCTCGCCTCCCTGTCCGTGAACGGGTGGACGCTATCACTGCCTCGGGCAGCCTCTCCCGGTGGCCCCTTCGGGTTTGCGCTGGAGGGACTTGGGAAGGAAGCCAAGCTCAGGTCGGCCTGGCTCTTTTGCTTGGCAGGCGGGCGCGCACTCGCGGCTCGCTTTCCTGGCTCTGCCCAGCCCATACGGCTCTGGCGCGGCCCTGGCGGGATGAGCGGAGGGTCCAGCAGGGAGGCGCTCGCTGCCTTGGTAAGAGCTCTGCTGCCGGGAAGGAGGGCCCACCTGTCAGCTGCGCTGGGCACCCCAGGCGAAGCTCTTCATGCTCTGCCCGGCGCCAGGCAGGGGTGGTGGCTGGGCACTTCTCCCGAGGTGGACCGATCCTGCGCTGTGGCCCCAGGAGATTCGCTTCCCCACATGGGGTTGGGCTGCCCTCTAGGGCAGGGGAGGCTTTGTTGTAGTAGGGCGTCGTTTTTAAAATAACTGGCTTTACCTTCGAAGGCAAAGGGAAGGCGGCGACAGGAGCGTCTGAAGCTGAGTGTCTCCGCCGGGCTCCGGTTGCAGGGAGGAGCCCTTGCTGGCCACACATGGCTGCGCCAAACGCCGCGGCATTGCTCTAAACGCCGTGGCAGCAAGGGAGAAGGGAAAGCAACGGTGGCGGAAGGTCTCCCGATACAAAGTGCCCCATCAACGCCGAGGTCAACATCCAAGCTGTCGCTGCCCACCCACCCAAGGTTGCAAGGGGGGAGAATTAAGTCACCCCCGAAAAGACGGCCTAGCCATTTTTTCGGGGGTCAAAAAAAAATAAGGCCCGGCCTTATTTTGTGAGAAACACGGTAGAATTTATTTATATTTTCAAATCTCTTCTACTTACTTCATCCAATGATTTATCTTCCAAGGCAGTTAAATCTAATAAAGGATTTTTCACTCCTTGACAGACCATTGCTTTTAACCCTACAAAAGAATGAACCAAATTTAAGTTGGGTCAAATATGTAAGGATAAACTGTTCCAAAGCCTTAAGAACCACAGGACATTACCTTATTCCAACATATATTTTTCACCATCTAGCTTAATAATAGTTAGGAAATGGTTCTGTCATAGTATTAGTATTCATGGAATGCTATTATTCATGGAATACTATTTCATAATGACTGATTATATTATACTGTAGTTAACATTAAATACTGAAGAGAATCCACTGGTGGTTTACTGTGTGATGGAAATGGTTCTGTTCATGGCAACACCAGTGATTTTTCCTCACGCCTGCATCCCAGCTCTCACATGAAACAATCAACTGTGAATAACCAAGAATAGAAGATTCTAATATTCTCCACCCAGATCTGTGAGAGAGTGGAAGCAGCAATATGCTATTCTCACCATGACAGACTATAGTCCATCATACATGCAAACTGGACCAGAGTCTTTTGTAGAGAAGTCTAGTAATTAGTGCATTAGGTTAGAAACCAAGAGATTGTGAGTTCTAATGCCACCTTAACCATAACAGCTATCTGGGTTACTTTGGGCCAATCGCTCTCTTTGATTCCAACCTACCTCTCAGGGTTATTGTGGGAAAATAAGAGCAAGAAGGGGCATTAGGTATGTTTGCCATTTTGAGTTATTTATGAAATAAAGAAGATGGGGAATAAATATATACTTGCATACATTTTAGAGTTTCTCTCCTTTTAGACTAATTTGTAAGTCGGCCAAGTTTACTTTATTACACATAACACAGTTAAGACACTCCAAAATGACTTTATATTCCTGACTGATCCATTGTTTTCCTACAGATTAGCACTTTCTGACTCAAAATTATTGAAACCTTTTCTGAAGGAGGTTGCAATGATTATTGTATGCTGTCCTTAATTTCCATTCTTATGACACACAAATAGATAAACACACATAAGACAAAAGAAATATCCTTGCCTATATAAAAATGGGCAGGGAATCCCACTAAAAACAGGATTTACATCTGAGTAATTTTCATTATAACACCAAACTCCTGATGACTTCATAGGACTTACTCACTTTCTTCCAAAGAAGCTATGCATAAGTATTTCTAAAGTCTCATACTACATATAGTTTAGTTCTTTTAAAATTAATACAGTTGGCTATAAATAGCACAATGCTCGCATACATACCCTTTTCATCCATTTTGGCACATTCTGCAAAAAGGTCCTTTGATCCTGCATTCAATCTATCTCTATGGAAATAGTGAGACTGGAAGAAACGTGTCCAGAATTCTTTTTCTGTCATATTGTGTGGAACGTTTTCTGCATATTTAAGTTTTACTATAATAAACATAAAAAATAAGATAATAGTTATCATATAATCACAAACTCATTATCAGTTTAAGATACTGAATTTCAGATAAATAAGTACATCGAATAAAAGAGCATTCAGCATGCAATAAAAAGGATTTTAGATTGTTCCCTGACACAATTATGGTACTTTATCCCACATAAAGACACTGAGTATTTCAGCACTGAAAATCAAGAGTCTTCAGTTTAAGGGGTAGACAGGTTCTTTTTTTCTAACATTTACTACTACCCTCTGCTCAAAATGCAGAATGACATCATCATCCCTGTACATCATACCAGCAACATTCATTATCTTACACATCTACAGTGCCTGTTGAGCATATGGCTTGGGTAGGTTGCTTCTTGGCCTGATCATTCCAGGATCTTTCCCAATGAGGTTGTCTGTGATATGGTGGGAGTTTATCAAACATGGCAAAAAAATCCCACAACAGGCAAGCAATGAATAAACTGTGTTGCCAGGAAGTCTCTATCCAGGATAGAGAATTTCCACTACTGAACCCTTCTTCCAAACTTCAACCGTTTGTGGTGCTTCTACATTCTGCCTAATAATGGTGTGGCAATACAACTCAAAAAGACTCCATCTATGTCTTTGAAAGCATTGACCAGGAAGCCCCACAACGAAACAGAATAAAATTACTCTGGATTAATTGTTGGTCTCCATTTCCATATACACCTGCACACTTGCCAAATGAATGATTCAGCTGATATAAAAGATCAAGTGGGAGGTATTTCCTTGTAAAAAGATCATATTACTCATTAGGTATGCATCGATCTGTATTTCAAGTGGGGAAAGCGAGCTTAAGACTAGACAGCTTTTAAAGGATTTGTTGATAAAGGCAGAGAGGGCATACTCATACTTTCAATTAATTTTCTCTCTTTGAATTCACATCTCTATACAGCCTCGTTTTTATTATGGGAATTTTAAAGTATTATTAAGCATACCTTTAGCACAAATTTACATGGTATAGTAGTTTAGAGGGATCCATATATATCCTAGTGATATAAAGAACATGGCATAATTGGCATATTTAATTGAAGGGATAATACTTTCAAATAACATTTAAAGTTCAGAAGAAAAGTGGAGTATATGTGTAACAGGAATATTACAAATGTGTATATTACATTATATAAGTTTACCTGCTGGATAAGTCCGAAATATTGATTCAATGATATCTGAAGTCAAATTATATCTTAGTCCATTGCATCCATCTGTTTGAGGTCTAACATCAGCCTACAACATAAAAATATCATCAAAATGGTTGCCCAAACATTTTTTTTAGTTTACGAATATTTTAACAAAAAAGGAGAAAATACAAATACAAGAAAAAAATAAAGTGAGATTTATAAAAAAAAAACAGTTCAATCCAATTTTTAAATAATGAGCACAAAGAATCATATTGTCCAGTCTTTCCATCGCATTACTGAAGGGTAAATTCAAAAGTTAACAATACATATATTTTGTCAAGCCACATTTTGATGCTGATACACAATTGTCTTTCCAAGAATATGTATATGTATTTTTTAACATTCCAACCACTAAGACCCAAAGTTCTTTACAAACAAAGTATGTATGTTTGGAATATGGTTTAATAATACATTAACACAATTAAGTCTTAACTTTTTTCATTAAAACCTGGCTCACCATATTAAGAATATTCAATCAATATAGAGAAACTATAAGACCTGACTGAATCATGCAGATAAATATGCTTCCAAATCTACTGGATCAACAGCATAGGAACACAAACAACCGTTTTTTAAATATCTGTTAAGAGTCTAATCAACTCCAATAAATATATTTGTTTGAGGTGAATGAGTGAGACTCTCTTGTTGCTACCTTAAGGAGCCTTGGTTTGTCTACTGCCTTCATCTTGCTCTACAGACTTTTTTTGTCAGATGGTTTTGGAAGGTGTGACATTGTATGGCAGTTGCTTGGATGGTTTTTAATTATCTATCCCATCCCTTTCTGCTGTTGCTTCCTACTTCCTACTTAGTGGGGATGACTGAGACTCTGCTTCTATTTACTTCAATTGTTGATCAAGTGGAACTGTTAGTATACAGGTTATCCTTGAGCTATAACCAAAATTGGATCTGGAATTTTGGTTGTTAATCGATGTGGTTGTTAAGCAAGTCACCATGTGACTTGATGATATTAAAATTATTTCTACTATGGCCACTAAGCAAATCAAAGTTTTCCCAATTGATTTTGCTTGTCAGAAGATGGTTTGGGAAAGTTGCAAATCATAATCACATGACCACAAGATGCTGCAACCTTTGTAAATGTGAACTGGTTCCTAAGCTCACAAATTACAATCACATGACCACAGGATGGTAGTAGGGCAACAACTGTAACTTTGAGGAAGTATTGTCAGTTTTTCACCGCTTTTGTTATTTCAAACCAACATTAAATGGTTATAAATCAAGGACTATCTGCATTACCATTTAAAAACTGTATACGATATTCAACACGCTAGGGGGTTCCAATTAAAAAAAAAGAATTCGCATTTTTAAGTAAAACATTCATTCAGCAGGTATTATGCTAGATATATTCTTCCTGTAAACTCCCAGAGGTTTTCAAGTATTACTAACAAGGTGATCTAAGATGGAAATCCCATTTTCAACTCATACTTACCAAAAGGTACAAGTTGAATTAAAAATAAAATCAATGATTGAAGAGATATAGGAATCTGCATTTCTCCTATTAAAAAAACCAAACAAATCAAATGAACATACCAGAAAAGCAGCAGAAATGCCAACATCTTGCTTGTTAGGTGCTGCAGAATTATCCGAAGCATTCAGATTTAAACGGTTGGCCCAGAATTCCTCAGCACTAATCACCTGACTTACAACAAGGTCTTTATAAAGCTGAAACAAAACAGGGTCTTCTTGCAACATTCTGTGAAGAAGATATTTAAATCTTATTGTTAAGCTTATTAGGCATTAAGTAGTAGAGTTTATCAAAGAAAGAATCAAATGGTCATACCTAATGTACATTAAGAAAGCTTCTGTTGTACAATGAGATTTTCCAGGCCTTTCATTTACTTTGTACACCTGAGCACTGTTCTTCTCATACTAAGATGACTGAAGCAAAAGGGACAATAAAAACTTGGGGCAACTAACTTTAACTGTCAGCTCTGATATATATACAATGTAGATGGAAAAAATGAAGACTTCCATCCAAGTCTCTAAAAATAAAAGCATTTTACATTACTCAGGTTTCCTATACATGTAGAAAAATCCTAAAGATACCAGCTAAGAAAGAAATGAGTGGAAGAATCAAAACAAGTAATAGGATTATATAAGCCATCCTAGGCCCAAAAATATGTCTTGATTAGGAAGTCATTAAGTTACAGATAAAAGGATAAGAAACAAGCACATATTTCAAGGAAGTATCATATGGTATCTAAATAAATTCATAATTTTCCCATATAAGAAGTATTTTTGTGCAATTCTACAAAAATACGTTGCAATAAATTTAAGTGTGTTTGCTACTCTATTTTATTATATTGCTACCAACCAACCAGAAAGTTTATTTTATCAATTCTTCAGAATGATAAATTCAGGAAAAATAGTTTGAGCCATAGAAAAAATGGACCTCAGTGTAGTATTGATGCCCTCATACGCACTATAATATTTTATTTTGCAAACTCATTCAGGTTTACAACTGATTGTACGACTTTCAGGTTTTTACTAAGATAGTGGAAAAATACATTCTATCTTTAACAAAAGACGATATAAATACTTCCAATAGCAAAAAATGTAGATACATTGAAAAAAATTAGGGTTGTATTTTAGCTGGCACAGCAGCTCCAACCAGTCTTTATTACTATTGCTTAATATTAACAGATTACCCCAAATAGTTTATTTTTAATTGAAGGCTCTTACCGGTTTTTTTCCTCTAGTTCCTTATTGGCTTTCCTCTTGAACTTTGGTAGCAGCTGTTGAAGAAGATCTTTAACTGCATCACGTTCTTTTACTGCTGTACTTTCATTAGAAAAATGGAAGTTAGTTGTGTCTCCTGCATGCAATACCAACTGAAGCTGAATCTTAGCTTTTCCTTCAGGACTGATTTTCTGACCTATATTAAAAAGAACACGTATTATGTAACATCAAATAGTTTATTAATCTGCCTTAAAGAAACCGCCTTACAAATTGCTCCCATTTTTACTGTAAAATTAGTTTTTATGAAAACAGCACTTAATTTCCTGAATGTCATCCTAAACACTTATTAAACTACAACATAAATCATATTACGTATTTCAATTAATATAACCCATAATCAAGCCTGGCCAACTCTTCTATGAAACCGCTACTCTTTAAAGAGCAGCATATCAATCCTTGTTTTTAATGCACATACACATCAGGCTTATATATTACTAAGTTACAGCCTTTCTCTAGAATATACAGCATTTTCCTAACCAGAGGTGAGCAGCTTAGAGGTCGCATAAGCCCCAAATTTCTATGTATTTATTTGATTTTGATCCCACTCTTATTTTTTTGCAGTCATTAGAGCTCCTAGAAAATGGCATTGCTTCTGGAATAAGCAAGCCATACATAAATTGAACAATGGCACCATTCACTGATGTGTCATTATAACGCCATTGCTCGATCCACTGAGGCTCAACTATTTTGAAATGGTAACTTTCAGAAGTGCAGCTCGCAGTCTTTCTTCTAGAGCCCTAATGACTGAGTTTTTTAGTTAGTCATCCAGTTACAAATCAAAAAGGCATTTTTTTTTGCTATAGAAGAATGATAAACAGCAATGAAAAAAAAAAAATAGAATTTAACTTTAAAAAACAGTAACCATGAATAGTACATGTCACTGACATAACAAAAAATTATAGCAAAAATAACCAATGTAATGAACAATGTACGCGGAATGGTATTTTTTTTACAAAGGATGTCCTGGAGAATGAAACGTCAACAAAATTATATACATTTTAATTTAGTGCTACATATTAATAAAATGAAAAGTAAGCATGAAAAGGAGTCTGTTCTGTTCTTATTTAGAAAAAGCAAGTGTATATTCATCTCTTCCTGAATTTCTTAAAATACTATTGGGGTTGACAAAATACAAATGGGGCTGACTTTGTTTTATGGCAATGTATGATGCAGAAAGCTTGTTATGTATACCAGGAATCCCCAACCCCCAGGCTGGGGACCACTACCGGCTGTGGTCTGTTTGGAACTGGGCTTGCACTCACTAAGTTCCATTCTGTGCCATTCTCATAGAACCATCCCACTTCCCCTCCGTACTTGGCCACCAAGTCAGAAAAGTTGGAGACCATTGACGTATACCATCTTGAGCCGTAGAAAGACAGAATATAAATCTTACTAAATAAAAACAAACTTGCTCCCCAATTAATGTAACTGAAAATCTCAATATTTAGAAAATAAAGACAAAGAAACCCCCAGATGTTTTCACTTACATTTTATATCTGCATACATATGGCTGATAGTGAACCGGTCTTTGCCCTCAGGTGCCCAAGCTATTCTTTCAGCCATGAGATAAAGAGCACCGTCCTGTTTCTTTTGACGCACTTTCTTCACTATTAATAACACTTCTTCAGATGATGTTGTCATGATGACTATAAGATATTGAATTAAAATAATCTTGTTATTTGATTTTCATAGCTAAGTATTCAAATATATACTGTGAATTTATACTACTGGTTGCTATTAGTGCATATCATTAAAAAATTAAGAGTACAGTAAATATTCCCTCATTTCCATAATTGGAAACATTACAAATCACACTAAGTTATAAGGAGGTTTGTTTGCTTTTGGCTTAAGAAGCCATGACTTTGTATTAGGTGTAAATCTAGCTACCAATGTCAGAAACCACTAACAGTGATATTTTATATTTAATTTGATTTGCATGACTTTGTAAATATTTGGATTATACAGGATCTCATAAGAATGTTTAAAGTACCACAGCATAATTTATTGAGCTTTTCTATTGGATATATACAATTATTACAGGCGTTCCAATCTTCTCTTAATTTTAGATATTACTCTGACACATTGTATTGTTAGAGGATTTAAGAGAACAGATACTGCATCTGTTGTGATGAAACTGCAGATGTCAAGTACCACATTTGCATAAATGCTGAAAATATTACATTTAGAATAAAGATCTAAAGGCATAGATTCCCCTACTTCCCCCCACATCATCATATATGTATGTTTTAAAGAAACCACAATTTTTTTATGATAGTAAATGCTTCCATTCATAGAAGAGATAATAGTCTCTTTCCACGTGCGGTTGATTCTCAAAATCTGTTCTCAAAAGTGTATTTCAGAGCAGAACACAATGGGGGCACATGGAGATAGTAGTCACAAAAACAGCATGAAATATGTATGCATCTGGGTATTATTAATTTAACATATTGGACTACATCCAACAATACATGGGTCACTAAGACAATGGGAGATTATCATTAGATTTAAACCAAAGCAATGTGCTTTTAGTACCTAACTTTTTAAATACATCAAAATACACACATTCAAAAAATATTATGACCTATAATTAAGACAAAGAAAGTCTAACATGTAATTGATTCATAAATAAACATAGTCTTAAACATAACATAGGCCCAAACATTTCTAAATATTTCAAAAAATAATTTTTTGCTACCAGGTAGATTGTTCCAAAACCTTTATCTGACAAATGTAAAACCTAGAAGTGAGATTATATGAATACATATTTATGTAAGAAATGCAATTCTCCTTTCCCACTATAACTCCTACTCAAAATATTCCACACAAGGCCATCAACTATGTGGAGCACACTGGAAGCTGAACAAAAATTAGGAAAGCCAAATCTATTGAATGTTACAATTGGCTTGTACGTATATTTGGCAGTATTTAACAGTTGTAAAAGGAGAAGAAAACATAGAGCTAAATGTTCCTTTCCCTTTATCTTTCCAGGATTCTCAAAACAAAAACAAAAAAAGCACATACACACACACACTAAACCTCACCACCTGGCTGTTGTGGGAGGGAGAGTGCACAAAATTGGGTGGCACACTGTGTATCAGGGGTGTCAAACTTGCATCCCAGATGGATCACATGCTGGGCCCGCCCAGTTTAGCAAAGGGGAAAAAGTCCCAATATGTCCCATGACACCGCAAGTTTGACACCCCTGCTTTATATGAACTTCAATGGATATATTCATCTTAATTTCATTAGCTTTATCATTCCCCATTTGAAAAACAGACCAGCAACTTTCTCATTTGAACCTGACCATTATATGCAAAGAACTAGATTGCTAATTACAGATTAAAATCTGTCTGTACAAACTGAGTTGAAGAGAATTTATAAAGCTGTTTCTGAAACTGGTACTTTCATGTTAAGTTCTAATCACTATTGTATACGCAATGAAATCTACCCATGTACATTATAGCCTGCAAACTATATGAAGAACAGTTGGTTTTAGGGAAGGTATCATATTAATTCCACTTACTTGCAGGAAACTACTTTTTAGTGTGGAACAAGGACATATTTTACTATGCGTTCCCTCAAATTCTGCTAAGTAATTCTGAACATTTTGAAGTTGTAGAACAATCTTCTTCAATCTTTTTTGAAGTTCAACTTTAGGTTCCACAAAAAGTTATTGGGGATTCTACAAGAAACTGTGATCAAAGCAACAAAAATCATAGCTTTGAGTACTTCATGCCCCATTTATTCTATTTCACAGCTATTCAATATTGGGCTACAGAAGCCTACATCATATAGAATGGTGAGAATTTTTTATATGCCATTCTCAAGTGCCAGCCTGCCACTGTGCTATTGATATGAACACTGTAAATCCTGTGTAGGCCAGAAATGAATTTTAGTGTGATGTTTCACTTTTTTTGCTACTTTTATTTGGTATCTAAAAATTTAAGGATTTGTGCAAAGAAAAAAGATAGAAAATGGCTACTCTAAAGGGAGATATAGATATATAATACATTTTGTGCAGATTTTCTCAAAGGAGACCCAATACCAGAAAAATATATGCTCTTGCTGTCATTGTCATGTGAGAAACTCTTCATGCATAGACAGTCCAAACAATTTATGCTTACCTTCTGAAACAATCATATATATCCATGTTGTTTTAAATGTATTTATACAAGACTATTTTTAAGTGGGAATATTCATACAAGGCATTCTTCCAGTACTCATTTACAACAGCATATGCTGTCTCTGAGTCAGAATAGTGGAAGTAGAATTTTGTATGCCACTAAAATATGCAGAGTTGTATTTTCTTTCTGATACCAGATGAAGAAACATTTATCCAAAGAAGGGGCTAATGCAGGAGTAATGTTTCAAACATCTTTATAATTGCTTTTACTTTCTATATTGTTTTATTGTATCTTGTATAATTTGTATCAAATGTTTCACTGTTTGAATTTTACTATAATTTGCTTTGAGATTTTAAATGAGAAGAGGCATTTAAATGGAAGTGGCATTTAAAGATAGATTTAAGTAAATGAATAGTACATAACTTCTAATTGTAATAATATATTCATTTTTGGATCTATATTAACTACACAACCACAAAATTTGCAAAGATGAATTAATGCAATATATTTTATTTCATAGCAATTTATCAGGGAGCAAAAATTACTGCAGATATTTTCTGCTATAAGTAAATGATTTACAAATTCTTGAGAAAAAAATTGATGTTCTATCATCTCCATAATATATCCAAGAAAATTCCTTCCCAGTCCAGTAAAAGCACACATCCTATTTACTTTGTAGCATTTTTCTTCTCCAGTAATCCTTTACTCAAACTTTACAGCTAAACAGACTCCTCATACACTAAACAAAATCTGGAGATCCTTAACTGCTCTGAATTAAACAATCCTGTAACACAGCAGCCAAACATATTTTTAAACCAAGTATAGATAGAATTGTCATTTTAAAAGAATGTATTACTAGCAAGGAGAGTCAGTGCTCTAAGTTCATAAAGTGTATTAGTTAATCACAGTTTATAAAGCAATAGTTATAAAATGCATTGTTATAAACAGTCTTAGCGTGATTATGTTTCTGTTTACATTTTTCTCCATGGTGCAAACCCTATTATCTAATTCGAGATCCATTTTAAGTCAGCGGGGGAAAAAAACAAAAAACCCCACTCCTATTTCTTACAATCGCGCCAGCAAAATTACTAAGCAAATTCTTTCCTTGCTCTTACCGAAGCAATTCCGGACAACAAAGACTTGATTATACCTCTTCCTCAAGGATCAGATAAAGAAAGAGAATCCAGGACAAAAAAAAAAAGGAATAAACTTGTATTTCATGAAGACCTCATTTCCCATTAAAGGGGAGGAAAATAAATGTACTCCACTTAGAAACATTCGGCGAGGTAATGAAAATGAAAATATTTTTCGTTAAGAGCAGGGTGAATTTGACAAACACGCTCCCTCCTACATTAACCGCATCGCCACCTGCCTGTAACGTTCACAGTGCCCGATCACGCAAAAGAAGAACCAGGAAGGAAGAGTAACTCTAACATGAAAGGCCAACTTACTTCACTCCCTCGCCCCCCCCCCCCCCCCTCCTTAACCTTCAATGCTGGGAGAAAGCGAGGTGGGCCCCAAACCAGGAACCGTTCAAAGAAGTCCTATCAACCTACCGTTAGGGCGACAATAACCGTGTTTGCGGTCTCGCCCCCCACCCGCCCGGCTCTTCCTTTTCGGCTCGCCTCACCGACCCCCTCCCCAAGCTTCAAAAAAAAAAAGGGAAAAAAAAGGGAGTCTAAGCCTTCACGCCGTTCCCTTCACGGCTTGTTGGAAAACTCAGCGGCCGCCGCCGCCGCCACCGCCTCCTCCTCCACCACCACCACCACCGGGGCCATGGGGCGGCCAGGAGCACGTCGAAGGAGCACGTGACCGGAAGCCGCCCCGCTCACGCACGACAGGAAGGGCACATCACGTGAGGGGCCGGCGCCGCCATGACACTCACCCTGTCACGTGACAGCACCTGTCGCTCCCCAGGCCTCTTTTCTGGTCACGTAACGGTCTCTTCGCATCTCCGCCGCCATGACAGCCTTCCGGAAAAAAAAACAAAAAACAAAACACACACACACACACAAACACAAAAAAAACCACGGGTTGGGACGGGTGACCATAGAGTTAACGCCGCGGTCGCTCCCGCCTCATTCCTTACGAGCCTTTTTGTGGGGGGAGGGCGAGGGCGGCGAGTCCCGTAAAATGGATGCCTTTCCTTGCTTTTCTTCCCAAACCTCTTCCTCCTCCGGGTACATCGGATGGGTCCGTTCTCGGTTGCCGGCGCCTCACTGAGTGGGGGAGGGGGATCCTGCCCGAGCTAGGGTTCGAAGAGGGGGGGGGGGAAAGAAAGCAGCGAGGGGAGGGGCAAACGTGCGGCGATCACGTGACGCGAGAAGGGGGGGCGCCGCGAAATGACGCAGTTCAAGGCGAGGGGCGTGGTTTGGAGGAGGAGGAGGTCTTGGGCGGGAGGAAAGAGAGAGAGAGAAAAAAAGAGAGGAGAGAGAGAGCTCGTGCTGTCACGCGCCGGGGTTTCTCTCGAGAGGCGGGGCTGTGGAGCGGCCAGTTGCTGCGGCTGCCTCTGTGCGGGCTTCAGCGGTTGTCCCTTAAGGCTCCGTATTGCGGAATGCCTGGTCTTTTTCTATAGCGAAGAGCGTTTTAAAAGGAAACGACGCCTTGGTCTTAAGTTGTGACGAATCCTTTTTTGAAAACCGGACTGTCCCTTTCAAAAGCTCTTCGGCTCGGACTCGGTGCAAATCTGTAGACTGTCACAGACAGGTATTAGGGGTGGGGTAGGGGTTGAGATGCGTGTAGCTGAAGCCGTTTCTCGCTCACTTGCTGTTTTCTTTTGTATTAATCTTTTCGGGGGAGGAAAGACCGATTGGGACCTCCTAAGCCCCGCTTTTAAGGATACCGTAGCAATCAGAGTTGGAAGGGACCTTGTAGGTCATCTAGTCCAACCCCCCGCCCAAGCGGGAGACCCCTACACCATTTCTGACAAATGGCAGTCCAATTAATGGCTTTTAATTTTCCCCCATTCTACGTCTTTCGTTTTGCTCTCTTGATTTTGCACGAAAGGAGGTGTTGGGAAACAACAGAGCCGCGTCTTCGATTCACAAGGGATTGTCAGGTCTACGTCTCTCTCTGCACGAATATATCGGAGAGTTATCTCGGGCTGCCCAGGCTAAGAAAGCGCCCACCACCACCAATCTCCTCCCAGGAAGGGAAGAGTTACTTAAATTACAGGGGCGTCGTTATATATTCTTAAAGCCACTATTTACTCAGCTGTGCTTTTAGATAATTTTCGGTTAAAAAAAAATATGACAGTGCGGGTTTCTGATATTCTTGTGTGAATTGTGTTTGATTCGTCTAATGATAAAACTTCGCAAGGTTAAATGATCATCTGTTCCGGAACCACACAGGTGGAGAAAGAAAGACTGGGGAAGTGGAGTGAGGTGTAACTTTGTTTCACACAATGGAATGGAAGAAAAAAAAATGAATGCATAGAAAAAGCATTCTCAAGGTATATTAGCCATGATGAAGACAGATTGCAGATTAAGATGAGAGTTTTAATCACATGTTGAAACCATGGCTGGTAATATTTATCTCAACCCTGACTCTGGTCGTTTCTCTGAAAATGCTGGAGTGATTTAACTTGTACTTTCAGTTCCTGAATACAGAATGATAGAGCAATAGCAAAGCCACTCCTCTGTAGTTCCTAAGTCATTCTGCACCTCCTAAATTTTCTCCCTGCTCCTCCATTCAAACAAGTGCCAAGAGAAGAGTTAATTGTGTCCCCTGATTAAGTTGCCCTATGACTGAAGGGCTTTATATAAAAACTAAACAGTTGGGAAAGATTCAAGCACTATGAAAAAATGTTGGTACATTGGAAACAGACTGAGCAGGAGAGACTGTTGGGTGCCTCAAGTGCAAGTCTCTTGTATGCATTTTTTCTAAACCAAAGGTAGGGATTTATATGAATACCAGATGTCCTTGACTTACTATCACAATTGAGCCCAACATTTCTGTTGCTAAGCAAAGCAGTTAAGTGACTTTTTATGATCCTTTTTGTCATAGTGAATAATTACAGTTAAGTGAATCTTGCTGTAGTTAAGCGAATGTGGCTTCCCCCATTGATTTTGGCTTGTCAGAAGCCAGCTGGGAAGGTTACAAATAGTGATCATTATGACTTCAGGACAGTGCCACTATTATAAATACTGTATGTCAGCTACCAAGCACCCAGATGACTGTGATCAGATGACTCTGGAGATGCTGCGGTGGTTCTAAGTGTGAAAACTAGTCATAAGTCACTTTTTTCAGTGCCATTGTAACTTTAAACAGTCACAAAATGAACATCTGTAAGTTGACTACCTGTAGTCTCTCTCTCCATATAATTTGCTAACAAGTAAAAATGATATACTTGACTCAGAGAATAAAATACAACTCCCCAATGGAACAAGGAAAATAGGCTTTCAAGAGGCAACTGGTCTTGCCATAATCTGACAAGTTTATATCCTCTTCCTGAAGAAGTTGGTTAGTTCTGGATTAGGACAATGTACAAGTTTAACAGCTTGTTTTAAAAATAGGTTTTATCTTAACTCACTACATTACAGTAAATTATTGTGGTTTATGGAGCAAAATATAGGTTAGCACAGATGAACTAGGTTAAAATAGCTGCTATCTGGATGTTGGGCATTTTATACCTTGAGTATCAACATTGTAAGTTTAGGAAGCCAAATTAACAATATGAAATCATACTTCATGTTTCCCTTACAGAAGGAATAGAAGAATGAAGCAATAACATTTGTAAGAGGCAATTGTCATGGCAGCGATACCTGAATCTTACAGCCATGTGTTGGCAGAGTTTGAATGTCTTAGTCCCCTGCTTTCTGCTCTCAGGCTGGATTCCAGTCGTCTGAAGGTGTGTTTGAGTCACAACTATTTTTCTGCTTTTTCTCCCTTTTTGATTGTATCTTGACAACCCATATATTAATAGTATATAATACATTATAAAGCAACATTTATAGTTGCTTGTCACTTGTAGGTAATCATGGTAGTTGGTGTGCAACTGAAACAGTTTTGGACAAATAAAAGTAAAAAGCAAATTATAAAAATAAAAGATAACACCGGAATTAAAGAATTTAATTGCAGACTGCCTGAGGAACTGAAAGGGTAATATTTTGCTGAGATATAACATCTGTAGTTTAGCCAGATTAAATTTTGTTTCCTGTTCCATTTTTCAGCTATGTACTTGAGTAATAGCCAGCCAAAATATTTTGAATGTTAGTTTCACTTTTTATTAGGAATACCAAAATATCAAAATGCCTGTTCATGTTAGCTCTTCACTTTTCAGCTAGAGCTATCAGCAAAGAATTATTTGGCAATTCTTGTAAATCTGCTGTAATGTTGTAAGTTAAATTCTGGCTACATTATAAATAATTCTCCACAGTTTTTCCCCAGTGCATCTTGGATTCAGAAATTTGATAAACATCAAAATTGGTTACAGATAGTCCTCAACTTATGACCAAAATAGACTGTTGAGTCCCCAATGTGTAAGCCTTTTGTATGTAGCTATTCTAAACTAGTCCTTGATTTACGACCACAATTGAGTCCAAAATTACCATTCCATTGCTAAGCAGGGCAGTTTTTAAATAAATTTTACCCCATTTTATGACTGCTTTTGCCACAGTTGTTAAATGAATCACTGCAATTGTTAAGCGAATCATGCACTCGTTAAGTGAATCTGACTTCTCTCATTGATTGCTTGTTATAAGCTGGTTGGGAAGGTTACAAATGGTACCACACGACCCTGGGACAGTGCAACTGTCATAAATACATGCCAGTTGCCAAGCACCCAAATTTTGATCTTGAGATAATGGGGATGCTGCAACAGTCATATGTAAAAATGACCCTGTCACCTTTTTCAGTTCCATTGTGACTTTAAACGATTACTAAACAAATGGTGTAAGCCAAGAACTACCTGTACTTAGGACAATTTCAGTCAATTGTCTCTGAGCCTTGTTTGTTTTAACAGTGCATGTTCAACAAACCTGTTTAATGTTTGGAAGATACAGTAGCTTATTTCATGTAAGATCTTTTGTCTGCAGTAGATTTACAATCACAAACACTGTCTTTATTAATCTAAAAATGAAAGCAGAAGTATCTGAAATTCTGCAGGCAGTGAAGAGGCATGCACAATACAAGTTCTTTACTAAGGGTTATTCTTTAACATTAAAACATAGTAAGTTGGTGTTTGTGAACCGGACTAGTATACCCTCTTTTTGATCAAGGGCAGCATATAGTCATTGTGGTATGTATCAGGATACACCTGGTGAGATGCAAAAGGAAGGAAATGTCTCAAAGTAATGTGGCTCTCTGCCCAGAGGGAAATAATTTCGTCTTCAAACTCTCCATTTTTCATGTTGGTTACCTCCGTACCCTAGCTCTTCTACTTTACCCAGTCTATTACAGTGTTTTTAAATGTTAACTGATAAAAAAAAATGTCAGATCCGTGAAGGGGAATTGGAGCTACATAAAAAGCCTCAAGAAGCCACTAGTTTATGGGCAATGTGTTTTGTGCTAAACAGCTGCTGAGAAGACTTGTGGGTTCTAGAATTCAAAATTAACATGGTAGAACTAGCAAACATCAAATCTTTCCTGCCTGTTTCTTGGAAGTGAAAATATGATTAATTACCATATATGAATCAGACACAAAGTGAGGCCTTTTAATAACAACTTTCCTTTTTCCCCCCCTTAAGTGTACATGTATAGGAATTTCTCGAAAATGGTTAGCACTGGGGAGTTCAGGTGGAGGCCTGAATCTCATCCAGAAAGATTGTTGGAAACAGAGGCTTTTCCTTACTCATAAGGTAAGACTGAATTAAACTTGCAGCAACCTTAGTGTAAGAATGTATTGTAATGGGCAGGAACTGGAAAGGATGATGCAGAAAAATAACAATGAAAGAAAACAAAATTAATTTTAAAGGTCAAATCCAGTAGTTGTTGCTTAATGACTTGTTGCTTAACAACTGTTCCTATTATGATGAAACACCCCCTCCCCCAAATTTATTTTATTTATTTGATTTGTCAATCACTTACAAGGTACAGGTATAAGAATAAACATAGTTTTGAATACATGAGATGGATACTTACAAGAAAAATAAAAAGAAACAATAGAACAGGGACGGTGGGCACGATTGGTGCGCTTACGCACGCCTATGATTATTACCTGTGATTACCTATGATTGGACTTGAAGTTATAACTGCTGCACCCCTCTCCCCCAATCACATTTCATGTGCTTGGTAACCAGCTCCCATTTACCATACTGCATATTTGGTTGCAGTTTATCATGGTCGTGTGACCA